GCCAGGACACGAAAGATTCCTTATTACACGTCTTGGTGAAATCTCAAGAGAATTGGAAGCCGAAAACAAAGGAAATTATCGAAATTTGTTCTACGCTACTCAACACGTGCTTTTGACAAACATGGCTGAAAACACCGAAAACTCCACCGAAAATGATCAAGTGGGAGATCAGAGAGTTAAATTATTACCATGGGCGACTGTGTATGTCGAAGATCTAGAAGTTTTGCCTGAAGACGACCTTTTAAAACGCTTGGAGACCGAGAGAGAATCAATCGCTAACTTCGATGAAACCAAAACGTCCGATGAAGTTTTGCAAGCCGTCAGCAATTTCTCGGCTCTTTGTATCGCTGTAGTACATCATTCTAAAGGAAAATGTAGTTACTTTAAGACATTGTGCGATTCTTTAGGCGAAGAGATTGATGCAGCCTGTAAGGAAAACGAGGAGTTAGTTCAGACCCGCCAGTCTCTTGAAAATCAACTCGAAGAAAACACTACGATACTTACAAGAGAGAAAGAATCGATCAGTGAAGGCTTGGAACAAGCGAAAGAAGACCTGTCCACCGCAAACAAAAAGAATTTGGAGCTTGTTGCAGAATTAAGAGAGAAAAATACGAAGATCGAAGACCTGGAGACGAAACTCGAGCAATTATCGCCATCACAACCTTCAAAGGGCCCGACAGATACGTGTCAAAGGACAACTCCAACTCCTACATGTGTGGGGAAGGGACTTCCCTCCGATTGGTCAAAGATCTGTAAGAATTTAACGCCCTTCAACCCTGAAATACGACCAAATGCAGGCATTGAAGAGTTTATAGCCACCTTAAAAAGTAAGTTATCAGTGAGACAACCACCCTACAGTGATGATGAAAAGCTAGCTATAGTAAAGATGGTTGTCGAGGGTACTGCCAGTATGCAGATACAGAGTTATTCACCAGAGATACGAAGTGACTTTGACAAACTTTGTGGACAGTTGGAAAAAGATTTCGGCAGATTCTCCTGTCAAGAGGCTGCAATTGAGGCCCTGCGAGGTAAAGAAGGTAGGCAAAAACCAACAGAAACACCCAGTGAATTTCTTCGCAGACTAAAACGACTATCAACAAGAGCTTTTGGATTTCGAGAAAGAGATGATGTTCAGCTAAGACTTGCATTTGTGGATGGCCTCCAACCTCACATTCGTCAACAGCTTGAGGCTTTAGCCCTCAATAATCTGGATGATCTCGTTGCAAAG